ACTATTCTGCCCGGCGTCATCTTTGTATTTAAATTTGGTCTTCAAGTACAACTTATTTTAATATGATTTGAAACTTTCAAGGCAAAATAAATTATAGTAAAATGGTTTATAATTTTGCTTTGCATATTTTGACCATGCTGATGCTGGTGGCCAAATTCGACTAGCTAATAAGAGCCAACTCGACAATCTTGACTAGCTCAACATGCTAACTAGCCAAATAGAATGCTCAACAACCGTACAATAATATAACTCAGCAGGGCATGGTTGAGGTTTACAAAAGTTCAGTGAGAAACTAATCTCTTGCCTGCAACTGCAAGTTCGACTTGGCATCAGCTTCAAATTCTTCTGTCAGAATTATCACCGCAACTACAATGACTCTCGAGTGAGATCAATTATCATCCCTTGTTCTGAATATTTGATTTGTACTTGATAAGATGTATGCTTCTAAACGGAAACTACTTGTTTAATTTTTAATTTTATTTTAAGCGGTTGAACAAAATTAACCTTTTAAAATTAAGCACGGGGAATTCGAGCAACAGTTTAGCAGCCATTTTTTATGGATGTTGGTCGTTTGATTTGCCGCAAGTGAACGAGATCGTGAACAAGTAATAAAGTAGTTAATAGAGTGTCGAATCCACGAGAACTACGTGTTTAATAGAGTTAAAATTAATTGCAACTTTAATCGAATAGCAAATAAATTTTGTGATTTTTTTCTACACTAACACCTAATCATCAATTAAACTAATGAAAATATGTAAATGTATTTTTCGAATACGTGAGATGCATTGCTAAAATGTAGAATCTCCCTTATTAATCCATTTTTAGTGTAACAATTAAAGTGACAATTTGAAATAATTCATGTTGTTTAATGTTCCTAATTTAATTGAAAGCCTCTCTCGATAGTGATCAAATCTATTCCCCCATGTGACCCTTCTCTCTCTCGATGAAAAATGCAAACATGATAAATGTATTAACAAGTACTAGAACACCTATTGAAACCATATAAAGCATAGAGATACATTTTTATCATCTATCGAACCTTACAATGTTTATTATATTGTGCTTAATCATATTGTCTCTCTCGATAACAATAAAATTCACTAACAATTCAATTTGTAATCAAGTAATTGAAAAGAACGATAAAACAATAATAAACTTCCACAAATCAAATCAAATTAAAGTCAAATTAATTAATTAAAAACTAAAAATATTATAACAATGGTTCATCTCATCCTAACAATGTATAAAATTAGCCTAATATATTGAAATTACAAGAAATCATATTTAAGTGAAGAGACATCATCCAAATTTTTGATAAATTGAGAAGATGAAGATGAATATTGAAATCTTGAATCTCTTCAATGGTTTCTTTATGAATCTTCACTTACGCCTTCTCTTCTTTGCCCAAAAATCAAGTTTGAATCTTCAATTGATTGAATTCTTGTAAATCCTCTTCAATTCTCTCACAAAAACTATGAATTCTCCTCCTTTAATGATAATAATTGATGAATATTGGAGTATAAGATGTATATAAAAGGTCCCAATATGTATTCTACTGTTATGTATTTGTAGGAGTCGAAAATTGGTTGAAAATCACGTTCAAATTAACTTCCAAAAGAGTTCCGATCGAATAAGAAAAGTTATCTTCGCGTGCGGATTTTTTGTCTCTGCACAGTAGTCAATATTTTGACCATAACTTTTTCTCGTGATATCCGATTGAGGAGATTCAAATGATTTGGAAAGATAGCTCAAAGGGATACAACTTTTTTAGAAATGGAGGTTTTCGAATTCGGACGTTTACGATGCCAAAAATGGGTCTCAATATTCAGCTAAAATTCTGGAATATAACTTGTGCGATTAAAAATTGATTTTGATCATATTTCATTCATTTTTGAGTTCTAATTCCATCCAATTGTCTCCTAACAATTTTCAAAGTATCATCTTGTAGTCCGAATCAACTATTAAATTTGCAATTTGGTCTTCAAATTTTGAATTTTGCCATTTTTCACCCATTTTTGGTTCTTTCTTTGGATTCCTTGTTCAACCATTGAGTTTTACCTATATAATATAAAATAAAACAATTTAGGATATATTTAGTTGGAATAACTATCAAATATCGTTATTTTAGACTCCGAATAAGTGTATAAAATACACTTATCACATGTCGATGGAAATGACCATTTCTGTCAATAAAAAGTTTGATATATTCACCTTTTTT